AAAAATTCAACTAGCACTTCTTAAATCACCCAGTTTTTATTTAAGAGAAAAGACTTTATACGCTAAATGGGGTGAACAGGGTCGTTAAGAGCAAATCTTTGCCCCGAATATTTGATACCAGATATTGCAGCGAAAGATTTCTGTGAAAAAACAACGTATTCAGTAGAAAAATATCCCGATAGGGTTTTCAATGCGAGCCGCGCCTTTTTTATAAGTGTTAAATTCTAGATCAAATCTACATATTTTAAGTAATACCAATGATTGCTCTGCCAGATTGATGGCAGAGTAGAAAATTGATCAGGGGGATTGTCTTCACTTGTCACTTGTAACTTTGTGCTAACGATAGCGCCTCTCATTAACGAAGCCGGTAAAACGTTTGGGAATGTAACAAGTCAGTGGTCTGATGCTGGACATCACGAATACCATGGCAGAAGACACGAGACTAAGTACGTTCCACAAGGTTTCTCTGACGCTCTGACAAGTTGCGAAAAAAAGGTCGATCAAATACCATAAAGCTAAAGGAGACTGCGAACAAACAGAAGGCCACACCATCTTGGTCTTCATATCTACGATGTAAAGAGTGATGATAGTTAAATTTTCCCATAAGAAGATATTGACAAAAAAGAATATGGATAGCAAATTTGGATTTGGCTAAAATGATAGGGCAAAATTGCAAAATTAAAATGCTTGATTTAAATTAACTTACACCGATCCTGCCAGGAGAGTTTGGGAATCTTGCTTGGGACAGATTATCTCTGCCTCTCTGCAGCTGTTCTCTTTTGGACGCTGTGCTACCATCAAGTTGACGATGATGCTTGATTGCATTTGCCACCTCTGCAATGGCCTCGTCCTCGACACGAAGCACGCGCACGGGGCCAGAGCCATCGTGGATCAGACGAAGGCTGACTCGAAGGCGGCCACTGCCTGGTCGCAGCCAATGAGCGCGAAGGCGGCCTGGGACGAGGCTGGCACTGACCAATTGGCGAGCCTGTGGCCGAGGACGAGCAGCCAACACAAAGCAGCCGACCGAGTGAAGTGGAGCTGAGGATGCAACGTTCTTGTGGCTCCAATTGCTCTCGTAGACACTAGTTGTGGCACCAGCTGCAACAGACTTCAAAGCACCATGGGGACTGCTAATATTGGTAGTTGGGCTGGAACCGAAGCCGGGATTGCGTTGCAACGCCCCTTCGGGTCTGGATGGAGGGTACAAAACGCGGCGACTGGCCTGCACACAGAACTTAGCCTGATTCATCAAGACGCCTGTCTACATAAGCAAGTATGTGTGGGTAAAAAAAGTTGGTGTAAATATAATTACGTGACCAGATGGGATATGCCTCAATGGCTATTGAAAACGAGGAAAAAAGTTAAGAATGAAAGTTGACCTGAAGGACAAGTAATGCATAGCATCTATTCACATGTGCAATTATTGAAGAATTAAATTAAGAAGCGAAATGAAATAAGTAGATCACTAATTTTGGCACTATTATTAACTACTTTGAATATTGGGGGGCTAAATCCAGAATACTTAGTATATCTTGAATAGAAAACAGTTCTTACCGTCAGCAAAAAAAGCTAATGTGACCAAAAAGTTGTTCCATTCAAGGAATTTGAGAGAACTAGGATAAGTAACATAATGAATTTCAACCATTTGGTCCAAACATAGCGTGGTATAA